CACCCACCATGTTACAGTCCCCTCCCTGACCACACCCACCATGTTACTGTCCCCTTCCCCACACTCTAGGACACTGATCCCCTTTTAAATTCCAGTTTCCACTACAGGGATCTTTGGCCACCTGCATTCACCTCACTCTGCTCAGCCTGAGAAATTCAAACTCCTTAACAATGTTTTCCAAGGACTTGAACTCAAGCTGTTTCCCTTCTTACAGCATGCTTCTGCTGTCGTCCCCTGTATGGTCCATGTCTTCTTCCCTGAACACTTAGCTGCTTGGACAAAGGGTCACTTAGCCAGGTCTGACTGCAGAGTCTTGTAGATCTGCTCAAATACCTGCAGCTTCTCCTCCAGCTTCAGAGCTAGGTCTCGCAGTGCTCTAGCTGACTCTGGTTTTGCCCCATCATACAGATCCACAGATTCCTTCACAAGGTGATACACATCACAGGCAAGGAAGAAACTTGTAAACCCTCCTGCTCTAATCCTGGCTCTTCTGGTCATGGGGAAAACACTTTGCACAGAGCTTCTTCCAGTGGATATCAGGTTTCTGGCCACTGGTCCAGGGCAAGAGGTGAATCTAGCTGTCCTGATGGCGCGGATCTGATCCTTGAGGGTTTTGAAGGCATTAACTAATTCCAAACCTGTATAACAAAGCTTGACTGTGATCTTAGGCACAGTCTTTAGAATCTCTTCAAGTATGCTCATGCTGGCTCCAACCAGGCTACTGGCTTCAGATTTATTTGATAGTGTGATTGATTCTTCCACAAGGGTGAACATAAAACTAATCAGAAATGCTGCTATTCCCATGCAAGGTGCTGAGAGTACCAGACTGGTCCCTGCTATAAAGGGTAACAGAACAAAACCAAGGAGGCTCAGGACTCCAGAGGCAGTACCAACAGAGCTGGACACCACATCGGAGATGGTACAGTCCTCAGGCACCTGGTCAAGATGGTCAGCCAGGTCTCGGAGCTTCCTGATATGGTCCTCTAGTTTCTTTTTCAACTCAGGAAACTCTTGTAAAAACTGCTCCTTCTGCTGCTCCCTTTGAGGTCTGTCATCTTCATCTGTGGGCTCCTGTGCTAAATGTTCCTTCAGAGCCTCACGCAGTGCAGCTTCCTCCTCGCTGTGACAGAAGGCAAGTGCATGAGGAAGACAGTTTTTTTTAAATAAAACTTTATTCAGTCTTTCTCTTTATACTACAAACCCAACAGGAAATAATTTTACAGGGATCCAAAACTTTCCACTGTACTGTGAACATTTGGCACATTCTAGATGCCCACCGTCCTTAGTCCACAGGGGTCAGTGTGTGAGGTAGAGTCAAGACACCATAGTGAATGGCACTTGATAAAATGCCACCACTCAAGATCAATGACATCACTACCTGTGGGAACCATTTGATGAGCACAGGGATGTGGGATCAGAGCAAATTCTTTCTACCCTAAGAACTGTGTGTTTTGTGAGGTATGCACCTTTCCCAAGAGTCTCTCCTCTACCATTGGATGCTGGGAAGTCATCTGCATCCCCTGCAGCATCCAGCCTGCAGGAATGCCTGAGCTTGCCTGGGGAGTCCTGCAGCAGGATATACAGACTGAGCATGATGAGAGTGGATTCCTCCATCTGAAAGACTCCCAGACCTGAGCAGTTGACAGCTTCACATCTGACCTCATGGGACAGTACACAGTGACAGCACACTTGCTCTAAATGCTTTCATCAGGCCACCTGTATCTGCTGCACACAGTGTCAGCATTAAAGTTAACTTTGGATCCCATCGGAAAGATATTTCATTAAATATCCATAGTATTTCAAGTGGGGAAATGAAGGGTCTGAGATACACTGTTCCCAAGGATTTTCTATCAAAATGCCCAATCTTAAAGACAGGGGTGTGATGAGGACTTTGCTGCCATTTCTGACCTCCAGATGAACTGGAAGCCTAAGCCATTGACTTGAGGAAGCTTCCCATGAGGCCATTGTCCCTGGAACTGATCTGTTGTTGGTGTTCCTGTAAGGGATTGGCTGTCTTCTGCCATCACTACCAGCTGGCCCTGAGTCCCCCACCCCTTGGCTGTGCAGGGTGGCTCCATCTCTCTCCCTTGGGGCAACAGTCCTGAGCAGTGTCCTCCCGGCTGCTGGAAGCTGTCTCAGGATGAATATTTTTCCTAGGGTGGGCTTTCTGTTATGCAGGAGTTATGTGATTCATCACACTCTCAGTGCAGGATACTTCGTCCCAAGGACAAGAAATCTGAAGCCTGAAGCTCTCTCAGATCTGACTAATGCCAGGCTTCATTGGTTCATTTCAACTCTTTGTGCTTTGTGTAACAATCATCTATGTGAGTTCTGAGTTGTTTTTAAAGGTTCTCAATTCTGTAGTTGGCTTAGAATTGTCTTTCATTAGTAGCTGGTATCAAAATGAGAAAGAAGGCTCAATGAGAATCTTTCCTCAGACCTTGTCATTTAACTGTTTCTGAGAATTCATTAAGAAACCCAAGCCAATCTCTTTAGAGCCATGAGACCCTCCAGACTGTTTTGCCTGCTGCCTGCTCTTTACAGATGCCTAAAGGTGTCCCCTTCTAGGCTGGAGCTCACAAGATCAGTGGCTGCCTGTGGTGACTGGGACAGGACAGCTGCTACCAATCTTGGCTCCACTCCTCACTAGTTCCTGACTCTCAACATGGCAGATTCCTGTAGATAGAGATCACTAGGCTAACACACACCCTAGCTGACAGCAGTGTCTCCTTGTAACACCACAAGGCCATGTGAAATCATGCAAGGGGCCTAGAGATCATCTGTAGTAACTGGAAGGACAGAAATCCCCTGAATATGTTCAAGACAAAAGGGGAAGCATTTTCCTCTGGTGTGTTGACATGCGATCTCCTGACATTCTCTACTTATGTGAATCATCCTCCAAACACACTGACTTTGGAAGGTGTCTGCAGCCACATGTTCTTCCTGATATCGGAGCACTCTGTGTAGAACAGAAGAAATCCCCCAAATAATCCCTTAGAACTCTACAGTCTTTGAAGACACACCCATGAACAGCCTTACACACATGAGGTATGACATCAGAGAATGCCCCTTCTCCCTGACATGTCTTCTGTTGGGCCCTTGACCATCCCCCTTTTTGTGCCTCCAACTCTCCCTCTTCTTCCAACTCTTTCTTCCTAGGCTGATACGTGCACCTCTATTCCAGGGTCACTCACAGTCTCTCTTAACCTCTGGCTGTGACCCTGGTCCTGCTCTCCCTGGGCTATCCCAGGCTGTCACCACATCCTATTAGACTAAACACTCATTCTTGTTAAACAGTATGGGGCTCTGGATCTGAGCAAGACCAGTCAGGGTCCAGCCCAGCTCTGTGCCTCTGCACCATGGTCTTTCTGCCTCCTTAGTTCAAAGAAGAATCTTGATGTTGATACCACTCTTCAGATGGGAGGAAAGGGACTGAGACTGCACCTGGAAGACGGCTTGTTCAGTCTACATTCTTCTCATTGTATCAAAACATATCCTTGATTCCTCAGTCCTACAAGAGACCCTTGGACCTTGTCTCTTCTCACTTTAAAATTAGCTTGCCAAGCTGACTTTCAGAAGCACCCACTGTGTGCTGGTCCCATGCTGAGAATCCCACTGTGTGCTGGCCCCATGCTGAGAAGCTCACATGGATGATCCCATCTTTTCACACTACAATCCCATGGTGGTGGACATCAGGAGGTGGTAACTAACTTGAAAAGGTCACATAACTAGTGGGTGGCAGAAATTGCCCTGGCACCCTGAGCAACATCTTCTAACAACCTGAGGTGATTTTCACCTGGAATAACATGTTGTAAAAACTCCTCTTGGATAGTTGAGAAGGAGGGTCCATAAGTCCAACCCCTGGGACTGCCTTGAGTGGGTATGCCTGACCAGGAAATAACCCTCATTCTCCTGGTCTGGGGGCAGCACTGAGTGAACCCTGCAGGTCACCTTGACAACTCCGCTGCTTCCACAAATCCCTTCCAGACTTCATCTTCAGTTATCAGGCTCCTCAGATCTGTTTTGCAGAGTACTTCTGTGAGAAAATCAGTGAATTCTTCAACATTTCGACCTACAACCATTTATCAGGAAAATGAGGTCAGATGACAGTATGGGGTCCCATGAACCTCTATTGATCTAGCCACCTCTCCACTCACCTTCATCAGACCTGCTGATCTGGAAGCATACAGGTTAGAGTCCTTCTCTGCACCCATTTAACTGCCCACTGAGTCCTCTGGAGCATGCCCAGCTGCCCAGAGCTGTGTGATATTCCCCTTCCCCTAGCCCCACTGTCCCACCATTTCTCTGTCTGCCCACCTGCCTTGCCAATCCCAGCTGCTGGGAGACTTGCACTGCCCCCTGAGTTCCACTGTCCAACCCACGGCTGCCTAGCAGAATCCTGCTGCACCAGGTACATTGAGGTTATGGCCCCTTCCAATAACTGCTACATCAGGAACCCCCAGAGACAACAGGATGGCTTAAGGCCAGAGTAAGAACAGGGTCAACAAAAGCCAGGACAATATGACACCTTCAGAGCACAGCTATGTGACTACCAAAAGCTCTGGATATCCTAACACAACTTTAAAAAAAAAAAAAAAAAGAAAAGAAAAGATCTGAAATCAATTTTGACAAAGATAATAGAGACCTTTAAAGAAGAAATGATGAATCCCTTAAAGAAATATAGGGAAATACAATCCACCAGGCAGAGGTCTTTAAAGAGGAAGCAATGCTCAGCAAGCATATTTGGAAACAGGAACTTTACAGAAATACAGTGGTGAAGACCAAACGATGCCATAAACATAAGGTACTACTCAGTGGAATTGGGGTCCTTATGGCAGTGAGATTCCAGATGTCTATCCTCTATGATCATTCTGTCATTTCACTGTCTGTCACGTGTTCACACCTGTCTCTGTGTCTGCCTCCCTTTGCTTCTATTTTTTACTGTGACCCTGCTCCACATGTGCAGAGGAGACACCATGTGCAGAAGAAGTGACCCTGCTCCCTCTGCACACCAGAATAAGTGCTTACTGGGACCAACTTGCCAGATGTTCATCACGGACATTGGCTTCCATTGAAATAACAGGCCACTTTTTGATGGCTCTTTTTTGAGCCACCACAAGTCTCTTACGGGTGAACACTGTGGAGCCAATGCTTTCAAATGTGACTTCCATGCTGCTAGTAGGTTCTCCATTATCTCACTGGGTCAGTAGTAGAAATTTTAGTAAAGGTAGAATGAATATCAGTGTATATTCAACACTGGAAGGACTCGGGGATCTCAGAAACTGATGAAAAGCATTCATGTCTGCTTGAACTACTGCACAGTTCGTGACTCTAAAGCCATTAATACAAAGACAGCACTGCCAGGTTTGGCTACAAGCTTGGGATGTGTCCTTGTCACAATCAACTAGCTCAACAACTCTGTACACTGAAGCATTTCCTCTCTAGCAGCAAGAAAGATTGGGATTTTTCTCCCTTCACAGCCAAGCTAGAGCTTAGCTGGTCTTGACCAGACTGTACCGTCTCACTTTCCACTGCAGGGCAGGAGCCTCCCTTACTTCCTTAACCTCCTCGACTGTCATAGCTCCTCTGAGACACTGAGCTTCCTAAGACCAAATGCAAAGTGTGAAGCACTTGGCATTTCTTCCTGTCCTACTTGTTCTTTTCATTGTAGACAAAAGAGCATAGAGTCCCTGCTAAGAAGTATCTGCAGTCAGTGTTATGCTGTGTTGACCTTTTCCCACCAAGGAAATTAGTCCACTGCTTTTAATTTAGCCTTATGTGAGTTCTTAGAATGCTGGTGGAAAATACCCAGGTTCTTTGTCAACCTATCACAGGACTGACTTTTTGCCCAGTTACCAATAAAATCCTTGCATCCCTGTGAAATCTCAGGACTGGTCTCCACCCTTCTGCACTGCTCAGCAGGACTGCCTTCCAGGGGCTCTGCTGACAGGATTTAACTGCATTTCGAATCCAGAGTTCCAAAGTCTCCCACACTCCTCACATAGATGTATATTCCCTCACCCCCATTCTCTTTCTATATAAAATGAACTATAGTGGTTTGAATATGCTTGTCCCAGGAAGTAGCACTATTAGGGAGTGTGGCCTTGTTGGAATGGGTGTGGCCTTGTAAGAGGAAATGTGTCAATGTAGGGGTGGGCTTTGAGACCCTCCTCCTAGCTGCCTGGAAGAGAGTCTATTCCTTAGCTTCCTTTGGATGATGATGTAGAACTCTTAGCTCCTCCTGCACCATGCCTGGCTGGATGCTGCCACACTCCTGCTTTGATGATAATGGACTGAACCTTGAACCTCTAAGCCAGCTGCAGTTAAATGTCCTTGTAAGAGTTGCCTTGGTCACGGTGTCTGTTCACAGTAGTAAAACCCGAAGACAGCAACAAATCTCTCTCTCTCTCTCTCTCTCTCTCTCTCTCTCTCTCTCTCTCTCTCTCTCT